TCCTGGGCCTTTATCAGAGGCACCGGACCAGCACGGGAGCCAAGGGAGTCGAATGAATCTCTGACTGCCCAGACATCCAGAATGGGAGCAGAGATCCCTTCTCCCCTCCCACTGCTTTCCCCTTTTATTAGCTTGTGCCAAAGCAAATCATTTCATATCAGTTTTCAAACAGCTGGCAGCACGGACCGTGTAGCAGGGCGTCCCTGCTGGCCACTGTAAGGGACTGCCGCCCTGCCAGCGCCGATTCAGACCTGAGCACAGCGAAGGACAGTCTGAGCCCACCCGGGGAAAAGCGGGGGAGCTAGAAATGAACAGGCAGGAAGCTGACCAAGCACAGGATCAAAGTCCTGAACCCTCGGGCTCTGTTTTTTTACTGCAGGAAGGGTACGGAGAGAACTTGGACCTCAAGGGCCAGTCTGTATCCACCTGTCCCCTACCCTGTAACAGGAGCGGAAGCAATTGGAGAGGAGCTCATCACCTCCATCTCCCTGGCCCTGCTACAGCACAAATCAGTCAAGCTCATTTTCTTGCTGCAGGTCTGGAATTGCTTGCAGAGCTGGGCTCCCCACCTCCAACTCAAAGTGCATTGGAGCGCTCTTCATAGTGACCTAAAGCCAAAAGCTTGGGTCTACAGCTAGATTTCAAGCCCATGCTTTTAGCTTTCTTTGGGATGCCAGGTCCCACCCTCAGTGTAGGTACAGATCGAAAGCCCCTGCCTTTCATGGAGCCAGACACTGTAAGGTTACAAGGCACAGACCACTGTGAGCATCTAATATGAACTTCCACCTAACAGAGGCCTGAGTAATTCCTGTATTGAGCCACTCTTGCAGCCGAACTGGTTCAGAAGAGGGGTCTGAGGCTAGACTCATGCTGGCTGGCTGCATTTGATTTGGATCCATAGGGAAAAAAAAGGATTGAGCAAACAGATGCTTTAATTATCTAGGGTGAAGGTTTCCCCTTATTAAACCACGTGGGTATTTGTGTAAAGCAGGGCAGATGGCTGGATGTGGTGGAAGGCCTCACCCCATGGATTCCCACTTGATGCAATCACTGGGAAAATCACCTGCAAGATTTGTTTTTCTTTCAGAGTTTCACATGGCTCCAGCCACTGGCCAGGGAAGTCTTCACCTCCGTTGCAAGATCAAATGCAGCCCAGCTCAGAGCAGCCGTCAGTCCTGGTTCATGGGTCCATGCAGGGCTCATTGCATTTCCCAAGTAATGGGTGTCCACGTCACTGGAGTCAGACCCAGGACAGGAATGAATGGGCCATGAATCCTCTCTCAGTTCTGCTGTTAAGACAGAAGGGTTTGTGCAGCATACAGCGAAGAAGCCCTGCACTGGTACTGCCAGTGCCCACCTGGATCCGCTTCATCAGCCAACAGAGGGTCTGTGTCCAGAGATGCTGGCACTGCCCCTTGCACAGACCAAAATATTCGTTATGGTCTCAGTGACAGGTTTAAGGCCAGCCTGGCAGCGCCAGGCATCATCCCTGCTAGACTGAAGCTCTGCACCGAATAGAGCGCTCCCACTGGGCCTGATTTTTGGCAGGACCCCAGAGACAGTTTGTCTCTGTCCTGCCTCCAGAAGCACTTGCCAATCTGGGCTGTAGCCCAGACACCACAACATGCCCTCTAGTGCCCCAGTCCCAGATTATTTACCCCTGCCCCGAGGATAGCTGCTGTGACTATTTTCAGGTCCTTGCCTTTAACTGAGGACTCGCGGGCCTGGCACATCTCCCTATGCCAGCCTGAAAAGAAAGGCTGTGGCATAATCACAGCCCACCCCAGCAGCTAAATTAAACCAATGACCCAGGAGCCAAAAAGATGGGAAGACATCAGCAGATCCCAAGCACGTGCTTGCACGTACATGCAAATTATGATGCAGTAATAATGATGCTAATGCCCTGCAATAAGTATATTTTAAGTCAAAGCCCTGCAGGATAAAGACTGCTCTCATCCCCATTCTGTCAAAGTGGAGAGGACAGAATCAGGGCCTGCTCTTTCTACTTGTTCCATAGACCCATCCTGAGCCAGGCTTGGGTTTTTCAGGTCAGTCACCTGATGGGCAGTGGGGGCTCGCTGCTTGGGCTGTGGTCTGTTATGCTCTTCCCAGCCTGAGTTTCCCTACCACACTTACACAAATGACAGAAGAGATGGGTCTATTTCAGTGGTGACGTGCATGGGGGTGCACATGTGCCCGTGAAAATGCCGGTGCACCCCCTGCAAGTGCTGGCCGATTGCTGCAGCTGCTCCCAGAAGCAGCCACAGCCACTCCTGGAAGTAGCTGCAGCGACTGACTGTGGGGGAACCTCCCTCAGGCATCAAGACTGGTTGCAGGGGGGGGCACATGCCCCTCCAGACTAAGGTGGCACCAGTCACCCATGGTCTATTTGAATGCCCACTTTATGAAAATGGGAGACTCCTCCCTAGCTTGTATGGTTGAGGGCAAGCAAAACCGAGGGCATCTGAACCCCAAGCCTCCAGGCATGGGCCTGCATGTAGGATGCCCGCCAAAGGATTTGGAAGCATCTGAAGCCCCTGGCTGCCGTAGTATGGCCACTTTTGGTCCTTGACTGACTCACGGATTTGGAATTGATTTGGCTGATTTGGCTTGGAATACAAAAAAAAAAAAAGATGGGTCTATTTGAAGTCAAAGCAAGTAGAAGCTGCCTCCCCTGAGACTGCCTCAGTAGGTGGCAGGCCCTTGGCTAATTCCTGTATCCAGAACTACTGCATAACTCCTGCGGAACAAGCACAAATTGATCCAGCTTTTCCCCACCCCCCAGACAGCAGCGAGATCTTTTGGGTAATTCAGAGGCCCCATTAAGGACTCAATTAGCCACTAGATGTCACTGCAACTTCGCTCAAGGAATTTGACCTGGCTAAAGAGACACCATCCATTTATAATTCAATCTTATGGGAAGATCATCACTTATCATCTACTTCTATTTACTATGGTGACAAGGAACAGTGGATAGCTCCAGTCCTGCAAAGATTTATGCACATTCTTCACTTAACACCTCTTGGTCAAATATCTGAAGCATTTGCTGTGTGTCGTCTTGATAGTAAGGATAAGTGCATAGTTTATAAAGGTGCACTAGATGTTAGAAGCATGTTAGCACTAGGGATTGTATGCATTACAGACTGGCATTATGCTTATCAGCAGAAAGGGTTATAGCTGAACTCCTCGCAAGCAATCCGTTGCAATTGGTTAAATGCTAATTATAGTATCCACTTAAACTTTTAAATGGTTTCTTAGGTAACTCGCCACCGTACCACGGCCTGCATTATCAAGCATACAACCCACAGTGAACCAGGCAGCAGGTTTAAAACAAACACTGGGAAGCACTTTCTTACACAAGGCATGATGAACCCGGGGGAAGCACTGCCACAAGATGTGGTGGAAGCCAATGATATAACCAACCGGGTCAAACCTGTGATCAGACTGACGCGTGGAGGATGGATCTGTCAGGGGCTATGAAGCCCAAGGGCCACTTCTGGGGCTGGGGGGGGTCGGACGGGGTGAATCGTTCCACCCTGGTTCATATGCTCTTCTTTTAAAGCGTCTGTTATTTGCCACTGTTGGAGACCGGACCTCGGGCTCGCTGGTCTGGTGCTCCTCCGGTTTCGTTCACCCCCTGCGGCAGGATGGCATAAGGAAAGCTGTGCAGAGCATAGTTTAGCGTGGGATTAAAGATGCATCCCCCCACTACAGCACACGCTCTCCTCTTCTCTCAACCCCATCAAGCACGGACATGGCCTGGCAGCGATTCCTTGGGGCGTAGCAGATAACCTGCGGTACAAAAGACTCGCCGTCTCAGCTGGACCGGCCTGCTTTCTCCTAAGAGCGTGGGGGTAGCTCCATGCAGGGAGTGCAGATTGCCACCCGCGCGGCCTTCCAGACTGCGTCCTGGAGAGGGGACTGGACCTGGAGCCAGGCCCCCTGTCCGGAGGAGGAGCGGGCCCAGGCACGGCTGTCAGAAAGGGCTGTTTCTTTGCCAAGCTGCTTTCTTCCTCCCTTCCGGCCTGGGCTGGGAGAGGATCTCAGACTAGGGCGATGCGATGCCCAGCTCAGACAGAGCAAGAACCAGCCTAGATCTAGACCAGGACATTTCTGCTCCCCTCTGTTTTGCCAGGCAGGGACGGCTCCCCTGACACAGGCTGACAGCCAGGCCAGCATCCAAACCGGGGCTACCAAGGGGGGGCGCACTGGGGTCTAGTGCAGCCGCTGCCAGGCCACACGGCAGCAAATGCCACAGGGCTCGTGCTTCCGCCTGGCATCTGCGCCCGGTGCAACACCTCGAGAGCTGGCGGGGGACAGGAGCTCTGCCCCTTTCCCAGCTGGAACAATGGAGGCAGCATTCGTCTGAGGGAAGGTACCACCCTGGCATCCTCTGGATCTCCCCAAATCACTGCCTGCAATGTGCCTGCAGCAGCTTGGGCAGCCCCCCCCCCCCGCA